CCTGTTGAATGGCTTGTATACATGACATTGACACCCATCTATTAATTTATCAGTGTCATGAGTGCACCATCTGATATGTGGAGGTAAGAGTTGGACCTAAATTAATTGGGAACATCTAGTTACACAGTCTGATTGTACTTTTGCCTCTCTCTCTTCTCATCCAGTTGTTAGCAAAGTATATCCCAACTAAATCTGGTGTCCGCGAGGTGTTCGGGAAGTAACACGTACTGATTACTGAACTTTGTTGGATGAGTTGGTTCTCGCATGGTGCACCCTGAATGGCTGATGCCAGTGCCACCCTTTGGGTCCATTCACATGCTACGTATCTTGCTTCCTGCTCCATTGAATGAAGCTGGTGTGAGCAATCTGCAGTGTTTAATTCAGTAGGCCATAGCCAAATGTCTCAATCTGCCATTCTGCCTAGATGTATATTTGTTTTTTTCTATCATTGTTTCTTGAACTTTTGAAGCCCCCTGGGGTTGTTGGCACGAGTTTTACTAGGATCCGGATGTTTTTAAGGCAGGTGAAGTTATTTCTCTTGAACATTAATCGAAGCCTTAGCCCAACCATATGGGATCATACATGATTATTTCTTTCAAATCTATATACATACATCTAATTAGACTAGCAAAGCATGAATAGAATATGTTATTGAAATTGAATGCCTCCATGTATGGCCTGTTTAGATGCAGGTCTGCTAAAGTAACCCTTTGAGGCCAAGGGAATACGAGACATAGCAGTATGTTGAGATTAATCCCTATTATAAATTAATTGCACCTTATTAACAAGAATTTGATTAATCAATTGTTCAATAACTTGTGGAAATTCCCGGCGGTGGCGGATTACAGTGATGAAGTATTTGAGCCCGTGTGACTGACCATCATGAGCATCCAACCATTTTATAAAGTTGCTCTTTTTCTTTTAGGTTATGGTTGGTTTGAAGGGAAAAGTAGGGAAAGAAAAGAAAAGGTAAGAAAGCCTTTACAAAACTTGTATAAGCTTCCCTACGTCTTCGGTCTCCCTTCCTTTCCTTACCTTTTCTTTCAAACCAAGCATGGCCTCAGCCTTTCAGGTTTCTTTACGTAGTTTTGGCCCTTTTGGGTGTTCACCGTAGTTTTTAAAAAACCCATTGTGTCATTTCTTGCACTTGGCCGTCGAAAGAGTGGATGTTTTCGTTTTGGCTGAGGGAGAGGGCGAGGGCCTAGTGGTTGGAAAATTTTCCTTTTGAGGGTCAGTCAAGGATCTTGAATTTATGTTGCCTATGATTCTCTCGGTGCTTCGCTTCTTTCTATGTTGGGAAACCAAAATCCATGGATTTGGCTTCTTAAGCTGTTAGATGTGTTTCATGGAGTCATCCGTCTGAAGTCATGGATTTGGATATTTACGACAAAACAACATTGCAAGGCTATGGTCTATGGAGCTTCTATCGGAAGTCCCAAGTTCCTTGGTCTTGCCTTATTCTGGGCTGTGAAGATGGTTCAAAATTAAAGTGGTACAACTTCTTATAGACGTTTTCTTTGTGGTAGTAGTTGAACTTGAAACAGAGATCCTATCCCATCTTTCATTTGTGGTATCGGTTACGTATGAGAGAGAGAGAGAGAGAGAGAGAGAGAGAGAGATTTCACTTGGTCACTTGCCTCCTGGACTGGAATAGCAGTAGTAGTTCCCTTTTGTGTCGGTAGCTCATTCTTAATTCAATTCGATATATAAATATACGTATATAAGAGCAGTTAGAGACGACTCATGGTAGACAAGGCGGTGCCTTCACCGTTTATTAATGCAGCTCTACTCCGACCACCCCTTCGTAGTACCTTCAAATTCTCTACTCTTGTGTTTGCCCGAGCTTCTTCATCCATGGAACAGCCACAGCAGCAGCAGAGAGTGGTGGTTTGCGGTGGTGGAGTCATCGGCGTCTGCACCGCCTACTTCTTAGCCAAGAAGGGTGCCGCCGTCACTATTGTTGAGAAATCCTCCATCGCTTGCGCCGCCTCCGGAAAAGCCGGTGGCTTCCTCGCCCTTGATTGGTGCGATGACGGATCCCTCTTCAATCTCGCTCGTACCAGCTTCAACCTCCATCGCTCCCTTGCCCTTGAACTTGATGGTCCACAAGCTTACGGTTACCGTCCACTTGACACCCTCAGCCTCATGGTCACCGAGGAGCAGCAACCCACCAGCACTTCTCGCTCCATTCTCCCTCCTTGGGTGGACGGACCTGCTCGGAACCCTAGGACAATCGGTACAACAGAGACCACCGCCCAAGTCCACCCGCTGCTCTTCACTCGAACATTGCTTTCGTCTGCCATGGCCAAACACGGCTTGGAGGTTGTGATCGGAGAGGTTGAGCGGATTGAGGTGGAGGGAGGTCGAGCAACAGCCGTGGTGCTCAAGGATGGGGAGCGGGTGATCGCGGCAGATGCCGTGGTGTTGGCTCTGGGCCCATGGTCTGGTCGTTTACCTCTGCTATCTTCCCTTTTCAGGGTATATGGTCTCAAGGCTCATAGCATTGTTCTAGAGCCGCGGGAGCCCGGAGCCATAACTCCTCATGCGCTCTTCCTCAGTTATTATCCCGCACAGGGAGGAAAGCCCATGGATCCCGAAGTGTACCCTCGTCCTACAGGTAGGCTTCTCTGTTCTCTCTCTCTGGTAAATGGTAATTCTTTCAGCATGTTTAGCTCTCGAAATTGATTTTGGGAATTGTAAACAATTTTATTAGGGGAGGTATACTTGTGTGGGATGTCGAAGGAAGCGGAGGTGCCGGACGACCCCGAGCAAGTGATGGGTGATCCTGAATCCATTAAGGTGCTTAGGAGAGTGGCTGGATCAGTGTCGAGCTATCTCGGGGAAGGGGAAGCAAATCTAAAGATTGGACAGGCATGCTTCTTGCCATGTACCGATGACAGTAAACCGGTGATCGGGGAGGTTCCCAATGCCAAGGGTTGTTATGTTGCAACCGGGCATAGCTGTTGGGGCATCTTGAATGGCCCTGCCACCGGGGCTGCAATGGCGGAGCTTGTTTTGGATGGGCGAGCCAGCATTGTCGATCTTACTCCCTTCAGTCCGGCCAGATTTGTGGGTGCCCGGAAGCACTAGAATTCTCTCTACACTCTACTCCTCCTGTTCGATCATTCAATCCTTATTATTCTCTTTATAATTATTTCTGTTTCTACTTTCTCTGATAATAAAATCAAGGGTTTCAGTAATTAGTGAGTTTAGTTTGGATCGAGATGTGAGAATGAAATTGGAGATTAGTTGATAATATATAATTATATATTGCCTGTTCCTTGGTTCCTCAGGCCTCAACTCATCCCTGTAGCCTGTACTGACCTCTTTGCACTTTTTAGAGGCGCATGATTGTCTACTAGTATTTGAGAAGTAAGAGCAATGGAGCACAGAGAAAGGACATCATCCAAATCGATTGCATTGTTTTCATGTTTTGTATTTGTATTCTTCTCAAACTGAGCCAAATGACCATAGGAATTTGGAAGTCAACAAAAACAGAAGTCGCCTTCTTCAAACGACAATTAACATGTTTCATAGTTAATGGTGATGCAATAAAAAATAATGCAGGAGGATCAGAAAAAGATGGTAGTTGGTGAAGCTGAGTGCTAGGTTGAATTGAATCATAATTCATCCATAGTGGTAATAATGGAACGACAACGTCCATTCTGTCTCTGCTCCGTAAGTATAATAATGCAAATACTTACAGTGCAAATCCATACAAAATAATACAAAATACAAAGCTTTGTACTCTACATATTTGTATTTGTACATATTTGTATTTTTACTCCTAAACTCAAAAGGTTTTTCCCTACAATACAAATACAAATATGTTAGTGTATATTTCTAAACCTTTGTATTTATAATGTGTTTGCACCAAAAACATTGTATTTCTAAACATTGTATGTAGAGTGCAAAACCATGTATTTTGTATGTATTTGTATTTGTAATCCTTTCAAATTATGTATTTGTATTAGTATAATATGTATCTTGTATTTGAAAGGAGTATAAATACAAATATGTATGGTATAAATAATTTTGGTAATTTAGGTAAATCAATTTTTATAATTTTGGTAATTTAGGTGAATCTAATAATTAATGAATATAACATACGCCAACTGAGTGGTGCTTCAGTTTGTACATTAACTGAATTGTCCCAGTAGAGATGTGGATTTGAATCCCGCTACTTGTTACCACCAACTTTGGGGGAGGGGGAGATTTATTAGAGTGTTGCTGAAGTGCTATGCTTTGCCGAAGAAAAATAAATAAACTAAGGTCCCTATGGGGGACAATGGCATACGATTCAATACCAAAAAAAACAAATAAATACAACATAGGAAATTTGTTGCTCTTATTACAATTAATTTGTGATTCAATCAGTTAGATAAAATCTTGGTTCTCATACTCTTTTATAAGCAATAATTGGGTATAATAATAAAGAGTTTCATTTGATTAAAATTAATTAAATTATTATAAAATTTGATAAAATGCATACCACATCATTAATTTTCCATCTAAAAACATTAATCAAACTATTTATATGAAATATATCAATGAAGTAATGATAAATACGCCCATTTGGAATGGCATATGATAATATATTATTAATTATATCTGTTTAGATCAGGGTCCAGGTTCGAGCCTGGGCTCAGGTTTAAGATTTAGACATGATGGTCTAATCAGGCCGGGTCATTTTCTCTTAATAAAGAGATAAAGCTCAGCCCGGCCTAAACCATGAACAGGTCTTAGGCGTCTTTCTGCAAATCTGCAATAACCTCACGCGCTTTGGCCACATATGTTTTGCTTCTAGCACTATTAATGCACTAGCACTACCACCACATTCTCAATATCCAGCGCGATTTTTTGTAAGTTATAACATGGAGATTGTTCATTTAGAAAGCTCTTCTCAATCCTCATCCAACTGTATCATCGACAAAACCTGAACCATCTCTTTCATTTATTTATTTAGTTTTTAATGCACAAGCTCTTCTACGATGGATGAGAGATGTTATGCGCCAGCAACCGACCAATTCAACGTGGATTAACAGATAGGGGTGGGTATTAATCAAACCATTCACAAGTCATTCGAGCTTGGTTAATAAGAAGCTTGATTTGACTCGGTTTAAATTGAACTTTGAGCAGAATTTGAATTCAATATTGATGAGGGGGATTTGACCCTCCAGTGACATGATGACATGATGACATGTGGCATCTCAAAACAGTCAATTAACACCACAGCACCACATAAGCAAACCTTGGGAGCGCCTCGAACACCTCGCATCCGCCCTAATGACCTCGGCACCACCTCGGTAAACTGCACTGCGAATGACCTGACAAGACATCAGGTCGGCATAAGAGGCAACCTGCTTCTACCGACCTGACCCGAGTTCAACTAGCGACTTGCTTGATGTGCCGGGCGACCTCTATGAGCGGGTTATTGTCTCCAACATCCCTGGGATCACGATGCCACATCAGAAAAGCCGATTATCACCCCGTCCGCTTCGATGCGACTAGATAAACACTATCCGCTTACGTGGAGTCCATCTCTGGGTGTGAAACCACCTCTAAACCAGATGGACCGGAGATCTCAGACGTACTTTGTGAGGCTCACGACAACTAACCTATACAAAGGCATCCCCCATTCATAGAAAAATGTACACATGATTTATCTTTCTAAGCACTCTAACTCTCTTGCTCTATTGCAAACAATTACCGGTTCGCTAGCTTAAGTATTGGAGTGCCCACCATAGGTCAAGCTACCCAAACACTTTGATATCCGTTTTCTTGCAATTTAACCACACAACCTACCTAATCTGGTGTCCAAGCTGTCTGCCAGTAGGGAGCACCAGATCGTGCATCATCAAATACATAGAATTGATAGGTTTTCTATCAAAAAAAGAAAAAAAGAAAGACTTGATAGGCTTGATTGTTAATCAAGCCAATCTTAAATGATATGAGGCTTGATTCATGAAACTCATGAGTCTAATCAATTAAATCAAACTTATATATAATATTTTTAATTTTTTACACATATAATAAGAAATATTTTTTATACCAAACTTGATTCACTATCAAGTTCAAGCCAAAGCCAAACTCAAACAATATGAATTTTTTAGTTGAACCAAATTTGAACTAGCATTTCTCAATTTAGGTGGCATTTGATAAATCTGAATTTTCAGATCTAAAAAGTTAAAAAGATATTAAGTGTCTAAAATTTGAAAAGAGGCATAGATTCTTTTCTACTTTTTAAAGGATCTGAATAGATAATGTTGTTTGTGTTGGATCAATTGTGCAACATTTGAAATTGCTTTGTTTTACTATTTTACCCCTAGAACAAGCTATTTTATAATTTTGAATGCAGTTAGCACTATTTCATATAAAATAATTTATCAAATTCAGAATAATATCAAAATTATACAAAAAATTAATAAAAATAATTAATCACTAATTAAAATATCAAAAAAAATAAAAATTAATAATAAACAATAAAATACTAATATGATTAAAATTTAATAAAATTAAAATAATTATTTAATTATTTAATTATTATTATTACTGAAATAACACGAATGAAAATTGTAAAATAAATCATTATTGATAATAATTACTAAAAATAATTAATAATTATAAATAACACAATAAAAAATAATTAACCACTGATAAAAAATATTAATATGATTAAAATAATTAATAAAATTAATACAACCTAACCTATCTTCTTCATTTACCCTAATCTATTGTTCATCATCTCCTCGATTCAAACACAAACCAGAGTTGTCGCGACGGTTGCAGCGGGAAGACAGGGAGAGAGAGAACCGCTTGCAGTGGCGGTGATGAGAAACGGGAAGATAGGGGAGAGAGAGAGAGAGACGCTGCAACTTGTAGCAACGGTGGCGGGAAGGCAGGGGGAGAGAGCGAGAGAGAACTGCTGCTGCAACTTGCAGCGACGATGGTGGGAAGTGGGAAGACAGGGAGAGAGAGAGAAAGAGGCATTTTTGGGTTTGGGGTTAATGAGGGGTAGTGTGTGTCATTTCCAAAATATTGGAAGGATAGCTTTGACTATGCACCGGCTCTGAAATGCGTCTGAGCATGTTAAGAGCCGACCCAAGGTCTAAGGTTTTCAGATCTGAAAACAAAATTCAAATCAAGTTTAAGAGGTAAAACCAAACAGGTGTGAAGATCTGAAAAGCAACATTTTCAGATTCAGACCTCTGAAAAGTGCAATCAAGCAACCCTTTAATTATTAATTCATATCCACCCGAGAGAATGAAGAAAAAAAAACATATGTATAAACCTTTGTGTACCACTATGATTGGAGCAACTTCACAAAAATTCAGCCCAGAAATTTATAGGTCATTGTGCCCTGTCTATAACCTAATCTCACAACTCAAGATAAGTAAAACTAAGGAATGTCTCAGTTGGTATAAAAGTTGGATTGTTCCTGTGGAGATGCAGAATCGAGTCTCATCACTGACCTTGAAGGAAAATTAATAGTATGCGGATGTGCTATTCCGAAAAAAGAAATACAGCCCAGCCCCTATGGGAGATTTAGGCGACTAAATACCTTGAGAGTTGAGAGAGACTCCTAAAAGCAAAAAAAACTGAGATTACAAACATCAAAAAAGCACGGCCATCCAGCCTCGCATTGAAAACATACAGGTATGCAAGATACTTCCAATCCAACTATCATAATAACTAACGGGGCTCCCAACGATCGAACAAATTCATAATAATTAACGGTCTAACGCCACCGTTTTTTATCAGTATAACTAAACGCCACCATTTAAAATGTTCTATTATATGTATTGTTTTCGGATTCTTCGTTTTGTAAGATTGGATAATATGAATTATTTGGCTCTCACTTTCTTATTAGCCATGAACATTGTATTGAAGATGGTAAATTCTGCCATACCTTGCCACTTTATTCTTTTAAGCAAATAGAAGAAATATGCCCCCTTAAATTACAAGTAAACGTTCTTAGAATTACATTAGTTTCAACTTTCAACTTTGGTATAAAAACTCGCAATAGTCCCTTTGTTGAAGACAATCTGACTCCACACTGGGACAACATATAAATCTCTTCAAGGCTTAAAAAGGCCAGAAGCTTAGGCAAATTTGGGAACTGGAACCCCTTCGGAAGGTGATAGTGTTACTGAACGCAGGAGCTCCAATGAGAAAACAAGCCCCAAGAAATGGGATAGAATAGTGTTGGCTGAGGCCTGCAAAAGATAGAAGAATGAGGGGGTAGGTATAAAAAGAATTATTGCACTTAACATCTATCTAAATTCTCCATACTCAATTATCTAGGCATTATTGCAATAATTAATCATGGACACAATCAGAAATTCACCTGTTCTATCAGGACTCAACTCAGGACATTGGAAATCGATGTAAAGCCGTTAATACCCCCCAGGTTTGCCTAGCACTTCACATGGAAGGTAATATGCAAGCATATTTGGAAATTCAAAATGCGCCATTATTTTGGTTGTGTTTGGTACCATTGCCACTTCTACTTGCAACATTTTAGGTTGTTCAATACAAATTTTTGAGAAATTAGCTTGTCACATCACACCAGATAACCACTTCCCTAAAAATATAGGCATTGGTTTGGATGTTGGCATTTATACTAACACCAAATTTGATGGTACCAAATGTTGTATTGATAACTCAAAGCATTTGTAGTAGAAAAAATACATTCTCATTATCTCATAAAATTTGTATTGGCCAACCTAAAATATTGCAAGTGGTAACGGTACCAAACACAACCTTAGATAATTGCATGTCATGTCCCTCCATTTTGAGACTATTATTATCTTCATACAACATTGATGTGTTGCTAAACGGATTGAGGTCCTTAAATATATAATGCATAATGTGTTGAAGATGAACAAAGAAAATTCAAGAAAATAAACAATGGGTAAAGGTGATATACAGACTTGCAAGTTGGATATAGAAATTAGGAAGTGTACCTGGACTAAGAATACATCCAAGGCTAGCACAGGACTATAACCAGGAGAGATACCCTGGTAGTAGGGATTTGCTGAGGAAGTAAGAGCCTTGGCAACCAATAATCCAACTGTAGCTTGCATGCCTAGAATAGCAGCACCCAATCCCAAAAGGTTTACCACTATGCCATTCCTTAAACTCTTCACCACTTCAGCTCGTGGAGGAGCCTGCAAAATCATATGCAAAACATGTATGGGAATTCATTTTCATTCGGTAGACACTAGATATTCGTATATTTTTGTGAAGTGATATCACCTCAGACACAACATTTCTCTTTCTTCTCCCTTCCCTTTATAAATTATGCTCATTTAACTACATAATATTCAGAAATTTGGTATGTCTTGTAAGGCCAATGAGACGTATTGGTTAAAATTTCTTGAGACTGTCATCTTGGGGAATAAAGTTCACTAACTACGAGCCTAATTGAAGCTTATGAGCATCCCAACCATTTTTGACAAAGCAAAAGTTCATGGCCTTGGCATCTCAATTTTTCCTCTATTTCAATTCTAAACACTTTTTAAGAGTTTGTGGACTTCAAAGGCATGAATGCAACCGTATATTCATCTTTCATCTATGATACCTGGATAACCGTTACATAGACACTTTTAGATGTACTTTATTGCATTAACACTTTAAAATATATAAACTGGCATTGATTTAAACAAATTGTACTATAATAATCTGTAAATGTTGGAAATTTAATTAATTTGGCAAAACATAAGTGTTGAGAAATGACATTTAGCACCCAAAAAAACTATATCTAATATGGGATACCTGTACTGGTATTATTCAGGATTTTATGAAATGGAGAGTGATTATCCCCATTTCTCTATCTATGTCCATGTGGGTATCTGTATCTTGCATTATAATCTTTCATTTGATAAAAACACAAAAAAGGAGATGACGAAGACAACAAGGATACTACAAGCTTACTCTATCCCCCAACACAAAGAAACAGAAAAGAGAAAAGGAAAGAAAAGAAACACACATGCACAAAAAAAGGTAAAAAAGTATAAAAAAAGGATGATGAGGAAAATTATTTTACTTCTATTTGTTGGTGTCCACAACGCAACCAAAGGCAACTGTTATCAGGTGTTGCTTGAGTTCCACTCAATTTTCATTAGCAATTTTACCATCGTTCTTAATCCAATCAATAAGAACCAGAACAGTGTCATCATACTGCCTAAGGAATTAACTAAGGGATCTTTTCATAACAGCTGAAATGGCTGAACTGAATGGTCTATTACTTCGTCTTCTAGTGACTAAGTTAACGAGGGTCTGAGCTCCTTAATTGCTGAAGCTGAAGTTATATTGATTACTAAATTCTCAAATATTCTATTAATCAATTATCTTAACCACTAAAAGAAAAGGCTGTAGGTCATTCAGTTCGGCCACTTCAGCCATTATCAAACAGCCCCTAGGAGAGCTTGCAATTTTGAAAGGATGGAGCAAATCATTTTAATCTCACCCTACCCTTTGGCATCTAAAAGCCACTAAGGTTGTAATGGGATAAGTTTCAGGATTTACGTTTTTAAAGCCCAAAACCTCAAATCCCCAATTCTAGGCTTTGTGCTTCAGGGCTTAAAAGTTTTTTGGCTTTAGATGGTTATGTTTTCAAAAGCAATTACTACCAAATGCTCTAAAAACTTTATGGCTCATATTTGTTTCCCACAGCCCAAAGCTCAAAAGCAAAAGTGTTATGGGCCCGGGCGTAGGATCTCGTCACGGGTCGGTCCACGGGGAGAACCTCTAGCTTCCCCTTGCGCTTCCCTTTGCGTGCAGACCCTATTGTGGCAACCTAATGGGTGATTTGTCCAAGAGATCACCCGAACTCTCCTCACTCTTCCTTTGACTGAAAAAACTGAATGCCTTTATTACCAATTCACAGCTCCTTAAATAGGAGATTACAAGAGGTGACTCCTTATTGAATTCGACTAGGCTAGGATAATCCAAATCAAACTCCTACTTCTAA